TTTTTTTTTTTTTTTTTTTTTGGTTTTTCGAGACAGGGTTTTTCTGTGGTTTTGGAGCCTGTCCTGGAACTAGCTCTTGTAGACCAGGCCGGTCTCGAACTCACAGAGATCCTCCTGCCTCGGCCTTCCAAGTGCTAAAGATATATTTTCATGTGATGTGTGTTGTCAAGCTGATTTCTAGGTCACAAGTTTATTTTATTTTTAAAGTTTATCTTATCATTTTGTTTGTATGGGTGTTTGCCTGCATGTATATCTGTGCACCATGTGCATGCAGTACCCCTGGAGGCCAGAAGTGGGCATTGGATCTCGGGGATTAGGGTTTGTGAGCCCCAACGTAGTGCTAAGGAACAAACAACTATCTTCTCAGGAGAGCCATTTCTCCAGCCCCCACAAGTTTATTTTGTAACCATGTTCCTTGACCTGGTCTAAATAGCAGGGGAATGTGTTGTGATTTCCGCACGTTAGGGACCCTCACCCATGGCAGGTGAAGAACACGGGCAGGAGATAGATTTGCCATGCAGAGCTTGAGTGCGGAGTTTATTGAGATAAAGGAATGGGGGAGAAGAGAGAACGGGAAGAGAGACAAAAAGCTGCCTCCTCAGAGAAAATGGCAAAAAGGAAGAAAGAGGGAGTGGGAGGTCTCTTAAAAGGGACCTTTTTCACCTGAGTACAGACTAGGACCCTGGGCTGGTCAGGGTACTGCCTGGGTGCATCCTGCCAGATGTCAGGGCAGGCCAGCATAATGCCTGAATCCTCACAGTATGCATATTTATTTCCTTCTGGTTTTAGACAACAAAAGCCTAGCTAGCTTGGCAGTAAGTTCAACTTGTCACATGAAGTCCTAATTCAAGTCAGTGTCTCTTAAATCTACTGACTGAGGAAGAAACAGGTGGCAGAAAACAGGCTTTGCGCAGCCTCCGAGACCACAGAGGCAGGCCAACCTTCCGGCTAGGCTGCTTGGTTTTGACAGCTCGCCATTCCTCTAAGCCGTTATTTCTATAAAGCACTGCTGTGTCTTGCTGTCCCATCTAAATTTTCCTTTTTGTTTACAGTATGAGATGAGAACAGAAGCCCGGCGGAAAAACCTTCTCATTTTGATTTTGCATTATTTAACACAAGAAGGGTATGTTATCACAGTCGTTTATGGTGACGCCCCTCCACTCTGACCCTTTGAAAGCAGGGACCAGATGTTACTTTTAGAATAGCTTTGTGTTTACAGAAAGATGAGCAGAAAGTACAGTGGCTCCATATATACTCTCTCCCCGTCTGTTTCCTATCTTACTATTACTATTAATAATATTACTATTATTATACTAATATTATTTGTATGTTGGCAGTGAATCCCAGAAAGCACTCTACAACTGAGCTCCAAGCCAGTCCTTTATTATTAACATCTCGGGTTAATTCAGTTGATTTGCTATAACTGGCGAGGCCTGCACTAACACAATGACATTCTCCAAGTTCGTAGTTAACTTCATGGCATTTTACGACAGCAACAGAAAAGTACCCAAATACATACATATTTAGCAAAAAATGAGGAAAGGCAAGCCAAAGACAGTTTCTTAGTGGACTGGCTTATTTGACTGCCAGCACTTTCAAACTAGTTTTGAACAATGGTAGCATCACTAGATGCCCCCAGAAGCAGGTGACTTCCGGACAGCACTGTTGTGAATGACAGTGTTTGGATACATTTAACATGTGGTTCAGTTACATGTCTGTAATGACAGTGTTTGGATACATTTAACATGTGGTGCAGTTACATGTATGTTATGACAGTGTCTGGACACATTTAACATGTGGTTCAGTTACATGTCTGTAATCTCAGGGCTTCAGGGGCTGTCACAGAAGGATCATGAGTTCTAAGACAGTGAGCTATTTAATGAAACCTTGTCCCTAAAACAACCACTTGAAAACAAACAACAAAACCAAAACCACCAGCAAACAAAAATACCCCTCCTCAATACCATAGCATTAAAAAATCCAAACCAGAAAACAAAATTCAACACAAGCCATAAAAGCCTATGTAAGGTTCCTTGTCTAGAAAAATCTCTTCCTTGCCAGTTTTTCTATGATGTGCTGCTTAAGGTCTGCTTGCTCTTTGTGTTGAATCTCTTTGGATCTGCACCCTCTGTTTGCTTTTATCCTTACACCTGACTTAATCTTTTCTCTTCTGTACAACTGCCAGCTATATCGATACGGCTAAAGCACTGGAGGAAGAGACTAAGATGGGGTTAAGGCGCTTTGAAGTTTGTGACAATGTTGACCTAGAAACAATTTTGATGGAATATGAGAGCTATTATTTTGTAAAGTTCCAGAAGTACCCCAAAATGGTTAAGAAGGCGCCAGAGACAGGTACATAGTTTTGGTGTATATCAGAAAGTACATCAGAATGGTATTTCCAGTGCCCACATCTGTAATCCCAAACTCAGGGAGGTGGGGACCTGAAGATCATAAGTCTGAAGACCAGCTTGGCCTATCCCTCCCCCTAATCAAAGGTGTTCCCAGGAACATGGCTATATGGTTCCTTCTGTGCCTGGAAGAGTAGACCAGAAAGATCTGGAGCCCATCTCAAACCCAGAACTGGCCATTCAAACACGATTGCCTGGATTTTTTTTTTTTTTTCTGAGACAGGGCTTCTCTGTGTAGCCCTGGCTGTCCTGGAACTCACTTTGTAGACCAGGCTGGCCTCAACCTCACAGATATTCATCTGCCTCTGCCTCCCAAGTGCTGGGATTAAAGGTGCATGCCACCACTGCCCTGCCGATTGCCTGGATTTTGACATCCGCTAGTCTTTGTGGAGTTTGTTTGAGGACTGTGTTTTAGGGTAATGAGAGCAAAGCCCCAGTGTATTGAAGGAGCTCTTTAGAAGAAAGACCAGCATTGACTTCTGGAGTGATGGAAAGGGCTGTTGGAAGACGATAAATGACAGAAGACTTCTTGTTAGGAAGACCTATTATCTATCTTGGAAATAACATGGAAATGAGTATTGGTGAAGCTAATAGCTCATGTATAGATAATGAAATGCTTTTGAAAACCATCAATCCAGATGGTGATCAATATAATGCAAAGACCCAGGATAGGTCAGCAGTCAAGGAGGCTTTAGCTGAGGGCCTAGGTTTGTAGTAACATTGACTTAGAAGTCTGTAAGTAGGGGAAGTAATTACAAACCGAGGGAGATCATTGTCCTGTTTACAAGGCACTTGTTAAGCCACAGACGTTAACATTTCATGTAAGGACCAGGAAACCAAGAGGAACGTCAATTAAAAATAGCCAGGCCAAATCTAGACTTGGGGGAAGGTCTGCAATTTTAATTTTCTTTCTTTTCTTTTTTCTTTTTTAAATTTTCTCTGAGCTCTCTTCCAGTGAAGGGTTCAGAGCTCAGCTTGTTTGGCTGGTTGTTTGATCTGGGCACTGGCTCCTGCACAGAGAGACAAGCTCTGTTCTCAAGGAGCTGATTTCTAGGTGGACTGTCCTCATCTAGCCTGGCACCCGTTTTCTCCTGTGAGATTGAGCACAGTGGCTTAATTCGAAAGGTCAGTTGGCAGAATTTAACTCAGTCAATGTTCCTCTCAGACTCATGCAATCCTGGAGTACCACATGACCCAGAAAATAGTGACAAATTCGTGAAATCTCAGTGGAGTGGCCAGCCTTAGAGGCGGCCTGTTGTGGGCATGGCCCCACATGTGTGGCCACGGTGGTTTTACTGAGGTCTGGGTCTCTCTCTGTGTGGCTCCGAATGCCTGAGAAGCTGTGGTCCCTTCTGCTCTCCGGGGCCTTCACTTCTCATTAGAACAGCTGTCTGTGGTCTGTAGGACCGTGTAAGAGCACTGCGAAAGAACAATGTACCTAAAAGTTTGCTTGCTCTCTCTTAAGACTAAATTCTCCCCATGTTTGTTTTTCCACAGCAGAAAACAATTTACCACCAAGAAGCGGAGGGAAGAACAACAGAAGGTAAAGTGAGTCATGATTTGTCATCATCAATTTAAATTTTTTTTTTTTTTTTTTTTTGAGACAAAGTCTCTCTATATAGCTCTGGATGTCCTGGAACTCCCTCTGTAGACCAGGCTGGCCTCGAACTCACAGAGATCCGCTTGCCTCTGCCTTCTGAATGCTAGGATTAAAGGTGTGCACTGGCATGCCAGGCCTGATCAGTTTACCGCTTAAGAGTCTGTGGGATCTCTTTCCTAAAGAGTCTCCAGTGCAGCTCCATGTCTGCTAGCAATACCAGACTGAGGTCATGTGACCTTGGAGTCCCCTCGTGTCGCCACTGCCTGGACTTGAGCCAGCGTCTTCAGATTCTCCCGGGGTCACTGCACATTTCTCTCAATGCTATCCAGTCTTTCCTGGCTACGTGGCTTCGACAGTCCGGGTCTTCAAGGTTAAAAGATTGACACCCAGTTTCCACAACGTCTTTCTATGCCCAAGGGTTGGCTGGCTTGGGGCAGCAGAGACTGTAGGATTTTGTTAGCATAAAAAAAAATCCAAAAGCTCGGGGGCAGATGAAAGTACAATTCTGGCAGGAACTACACTGTATACTCAGTTTATGCCATGAAAAAAAATCATTTTCCAAATCTTAGAATGTGCCAGAAAAAGGAAACTCAGATTTAGGTAAGTTATTAGGTCTTGAGAGGTGTGCGTTCTATGTGTCCTATCAAGGGCCTCGGTTCTTTGACTTCAGTTCCCTGTATCCAGCCTCTGTAGCAATGGCTGGCTGGAGCCCATGCCATAACAGCGGCTATCACCGTCTTCTGCCCGAGCCACCTCTGCTTTGCCCTGTGCTTTAGGGACGGTGTCACTGCCTCGATGGGGCGCTGTTGCCCTATCCATGGTTCCCGTGAAGTTAGTCGGTCTCTGCTGATGCTAAAACGGCTTGTGCATGGCAGCAGCGAGGGCATTTAATAGGCCAGCCTTGGACGTCCCTGGGCTCCGCTTCTCTTCCAGTGCATTCGTGCCTGCTGTGTGCTCAGGGCACGTCACTTGGGGTTTCCTCAGTTCTTCTGGGTTGATGTCTGTGTGTGTCAAGCACAAGGGCTGAACCCCAAATGTTTAGTCACGGAGGAGAATCAGGAAAGCAATGGGCAGTGTTTCTGGCCACTGTGGGCTTTTTAAATGTTTTGAATTTTATTTATTTATTTTTTTTATGTGTGTGAGTGTTTTAGCTGTCTGTAAGGATGTGCACCACATCTGTGCAGTGCCCACAGAGTCCAGAAGAGGGCATTAGATCCCCTGGAACTAGAGGTACAGGCAGTAGTGATCTTAGTCGCTGAAGCCATCTCTCCAGCCGCTCTGGGTGCTGTTTTATGCCGAGATGCTCGCTCTGTAACAGGGTGGGTCATCGGGTTGACTTCCATTCGTCCAAGTGTTCTTTCCTAATTTTGTGCCTCACACCAGAGATTTCTCTCAGTTATAGATCTGCTGATAATCCAAGGGAGAAAAGTTAGCTAATGAGACAGGTGACAGAATTGGGGTCCCAAAAGGCTTGAGAATTTGGGGGAATATTATTTGAAGGTGTGTTGCTTTTGTTTATGCTGCATTTGTTTACCTCTGCAAAGCTGTGATTCTTTACCGGTCTAAAACACCTGGTGGTATAATAAAGAGCTGAACAGCCAATAGCGAGGCAGGAGCAAGGATAGGTGGGGCTGGCAGGCAGAGAGGATAAACAGGAGGAGAAATAAGGAAGAGGGGAGCAAGAGAACAAAGAGAAGAGGACATCAAGGGCCAGCCACCAAGCTACACAACGAGCAATGGAGAAAGAAATAAAGAAAAGTATACAGGAATAGAGAAAGATAAAAGCCCAGAGGCAAAAGGTAGTCAGGATAATTTAAGAAAAGCTGGCAAGAAACAAGCCAGACTGAGGTCAGATATTCATAACTAAGAATAAACCTACATGTGTGATTTATTTGGGAGCGGGGTGGAGGGCCCCCTCAAAAGCCAGAAGAATAAAACATCACACAACAAAGAATTTGTGGGATGGGCCTAAGACAGTGGAATCTGATAGAATAAAGCTCAGGCTCTAACAAGTCCCTTCCCCACTGCAAGATCAGAGACCTAGAAATCAAGTTAACAGTATGTTCACACAATGTACAAACATTTCACAACAATGCTGGTGCTTACATTTAGGGTAGATCTTCCCTTCTCTACTGAATGTCTCTGAAAACAGCCTCACAGACATGTCCCAAGGTGTGCCCCATTAATGCCTTCGGCATTTCTTTTTTAAATTTATTTTATGATTATGAGTGTTTTGCCTGCACGTGTGCAGTGCTTGCAGAAGTCAGAAGAAGGCATTGACTCCTCTGGAATTGGAGTGACAGTTATGAACTGCCACGTGTCTGCTGGGGAAGGCCATTAGCATTGGTCCAGCCCCTCACCAGGTGTTTCTTACAGTCCAACCAAGTTGACAATCAGAGCAAGAGGTTAGACCTCAGTAGAATTCTCTTGAGCACAGGACTGATGAATAAAGTTAAGGCCGAAGAAGTTTGGTTCTATATTCAGAAGAATTTTATGATTATTGGTGTTTTTGTCTTGAGTCATATCAAAGCAAACTTTATGGTTCATTTTGCTGTTGGCAGGAAATCAAAATGGAAGGACCAGAGTTCTGGACCTTTGAGAGACCCAAATGGATGTTGAGATGCATGTGTGTGTTGTGTGTGTTACCTATAATTATATTTAAACCAACCCTATTAGCAGAATTTGCATGTATGAAATGCTTGATACTCATTTTATGATTGTTTCATTTTTGTCTCAGCAAAAAGCCTGAAGGACAGATTTTCTAATGTTTAGGTTAGAGATGAAAAAAAGATGCCCTAGGAATGTTCCGTGTTGACTCCTCATGAGTTGAACATTAGGGTGTGGACATGGTAGTATTGTTGACATAGTATTTATATTAGAGATAATCAATTTTTCTTTTCCATAATGAATTGAACTGAGGCAGAAGCTATCTGAGATCATTTAGAATATGAGAGTCATTCCTCTAGTGACCCTACTGCAGATATCCTGCAAAGAGCTGAGAGGAGAGAGCAGCTTAAGGCATCAGAGCTCATGATGGCCTCTAAGAAGGTCCTGCGTGTCTGACCTTGTCTTCTATTGCAAAATGCAAACATCCCAATACCATTTTTTTGCCTACTGATGAGGATGTACTGAACGGATTAGTTCTGCCCTTGTAGTGATGTGTGATGCACACTCAAACGTGTGCACTGTGACTCTTATGACAACTGCAGATTCCCTTTGTCCCCTCCACTGCTATAAACCCCATCTCTACCAGCCACTCTTCTGACTTCCAGTCCCATCACTGTATTTTTCCAGACAGGAACATACTCATGAGAAATTTTTTTTTTTTTTTTTTTTTTTTTGGTCTTTCGAGACAGGGTTTCTCTGTAGCTTTGGAGCCTGTTTTGGCACTTGCTCTTGTAGACCAGGCTGGCGATAAATCATTTTATAAAGATGAGTGATTTGTGACAGTAGACATAGACTAAGTTTGCTCTCTTTCCATAGTGCGTCACAGTGTTTTATTATTTATGTGTATTTGTGTGTATCTCTGTGTGCAGTTACCTGTAAAGGTCAGAAGAATGTCAGATCTCCTGAAGATGGAGTTACAGGAAATTGTGAACTGCCCAATATGGGTGCTGAGGACCAAACTCAGGACCTCTGCAAGAGCAAGCAACCCATGCTCTTTTTTTTTAAAAAAAAAAATTTATTTATTATGTACACAATATTCTGTCTGTGTGTATATCTGCAGGCCAGAAGAGGGCACCAGACCCCATTACAGATGGTTGTGAGCCACCATGTGGTTGTTGGGAATTGAACTCAGGACCTTTGGAAGAGCAGGCAATGCTCTTAACCACTGAGCCATCTCTCCAGCCCCAGCCCATGCTCTTAACCACTGATGCTATAGGTCCTTTGATGTTTTACACAGAGGAAGGATATTCAGTGTACAGGATTACAACTCAGAGAGAGCCCTGGATCTTCTGGCGTTTCATAACGTGAGAGGACAGACTGTCTCCTCCCGCTACCCCTGGGATTTCCCTGGTCTGATGCTTGTGAGGAGGGTGGGGGATGTTAGCACCAGGAGTATTCTTCCTTTGCAGTGATTCTCAGCCTTCTCATGCTGCGACCCTTCAGTCAGCCCCTCGTGTTGACATGACCCCAGTCACAAAATTACTTCACTACTACTTCATAACTGTAATTTTGCTACTGTTATGAATCGTGATGTAAATATCTGATATGTGAGATATTTGATATGTGACCCCTGTGAAAGGGTCATTTGAGTCTCAAAAGGGTCGGGACCCACAGGTTGAGAACTGCTGTTCTATGTTGTTTTGTTTGTTTTTAAATTTTTTTTAAAAAAATCATTCATATGGGTGGGTTTTTGAAAACTAAAGCAATCTGCCAAGCATGGAACCTCTGTGGTGTGACAGAGAATGGAAGAGGGTGGATTGGGGGTCCCTGGGAAGGGTGGGCACTCCAGCTTGGTTGAGAGGAGCCCAGTGAGTAGTCAGGAGAGAGCTGGAGCCAAATCAACTAGGAGCAAGTACATGGTGCAGCCGCACGAGCCTCATTGTGCTGTGTGCAGAGCCTCACTGTGCTGTGTGCATAGAGCCTCACC